GTGGCGCTTAGGGACACGGTTCGGCGGTGGACTCGGCAGCACTGGGTTGATGGTTGGACTCGATGATCTTAAAGGTCTTTTCCAATCTCAGTGATTTTGTGATTCTGCGATCATCCCTGGGTGCTCCTGGGTAGTTACCACAATCAACTTGATCTATATAGATTACTTTTTTTCCTTGAATTATGGTCACAGAGTTGGTTGATGACCAAATTTGACTCTTCCCCTGACTTCAGGCAGCCTGACCTGCCCGGCTGCGCTGAACCATGGCCTCAGCCTCCACCTGCACGTCGCTCCTCCTCCAAGCATTGTGTTCGGAGAGCAAAGCTTAGACTTTCCTTTTGCTTTTGCAGCTTTGCATTCCTCCTCCCCGCCTTCCCTAACAGTCCCGTGCTGTGCTCCATGCCATGGAGCCGTCACCTGCCGGCCGCAGCCTGTGGGTTTTCCTACAGCCCCTTGGCACAGCTCATTTGCCTAAAACCCATCTGTTTTCTTTGCAACAACCTGCACCCTCAGCTCCTTTTGCATTTATTTATTTTCAACTTTACCCAAGCAGCTCCTGGAAACGCACTGCAACCTTGGGAAAAAATTGGGCCAAGAATATTTTGGAAAAAAACCACTCCAAACATAAACCCCCTCATTTTCTGTTTAGACCAGTTAGTTACACTTCTTTCAGAGGTGGAGCGCTGTGGCACTGGGATGGGATCTCATCTCCCAATTCTCCATTTCAACCATTCCAACCCCAAAAGCCAGCTCGGCTCCTGAGTCTTGATGCGTTAGCGGTCTCATCCCAAGGGCAGCATCGCCCTTCTACCTCTGCCAGAGCTACGGCCGACGCAGCATCCTCGCTAGGCACGGGGAAGGGAGTTTTGGTTCCACGGAGGGAGAGGAGTTCCGAGCGCCGCTCCCTGCCCCGGTGCGCCAGCCCACCGACATGAAAGAACAGCACAAAGCACGAAAGGGATTTTTAAATGTTTTTTTTTTTTTTTTTTTTACACTTACAGCATTTGGTTGCCAGTTCCTGCGCTGCACCTACTGTCCCCGGCAGCAAGTCGGAACCCTGCGGACAGCGGAGCAGGAACAGCCGAACGCTGGCTGATCGGCAGGG